ACTAGCACCTTGCCAAGATACTAATTATGCAACTAAGGTGCCAGGCTAGCTAGAGCTCTCCTAAACAATTCTAGGAGCAAGGTCACACAAACCTATGCCACTAGTACTTTAAGCAACAAGGGAGCTCCTACACATGCTAGTAAGCAAAAGCACAAAGCTATCTAAGCTCACTAGCAATGCTCAATAACAAGGCAACCAACGCCTAATTAGAGAGCGCAAATACTTAGCTACACAAACTAAGCAATGTGACTAACAAGGTTACTAAAACCAAATTAGCCACGCAAGGGAGCTACTTCTATGCTACACAAGCAAGAAGGTAATTAGCTAGCTACACAAGCTATCTAATTACAAGAGCAACTACACAAGCTTAAGATATATATATAAGTAATTGCAAGCTTGTGTAATGGGGATGCAAACCAACGGGAAGAACAAGGTTGACACGATGATTTTTCTCCAAAGGTTCACGTGTTTGCCAACACGCTAGCCCCCGTTGTGTCGACCGCTCACTTGGTGGTTCGGCGGCTAATTAGCATCACCCGCTAAGCCCGCACGTCGGGCGCCCAGAAGAAACCTACCCCTTGAGTGAGGGTAGCTCAATGACACGCTTTACTAAAGTTGCTCTTCATGACTCCATGGGCGAGCACAACAAGTACCCCTCACAAGCACTTCTCGGGAGCGCCGCACAAGCTTCTTTGCGGCGCTCGATGGAGACCACCACCAAGCCATCTAGGAGGTGGCAACCTTCAAGAGTAACAAGCACCACCGGCTTGCAACACGACCACCTAGTGCCACTCAATGCAACCTCACGATGCAATCGCACTAGAATCGCTCACTCACACAATCGAATGATCACTATCAAGTATATGTGTGATGGAGGGCTCCCAATCACTCACAAGCATGGACACTAAGTCCCTTGGTGCTCAACACCAGCCATGGCCGAGGGCCACTTCTATTTATAGCCCCAAGGGCTAAACTAGCCGTTACCCTTCATCGGCAGCGGTCGGGCCGACCGGGACGCTCCGGTCGTGTTGACCGGACGCCGGACCTCGGCGTCCGGCGCGCCCCTGACGGCCACGTGTCTCGCTTCCAACGGTCACTTGACTTGACCGGACGCAATAGCTTTCAATCGACCGGACGCTTTGAACCCCCCGCCGTCCGATCGTTTCTAGTAAGTACCGACCTCGGCCGGACGCGTCCGGTCACACTTGATCGGACGCGGCCGGCGTCCGGTCACACCTCCAGCTTCTGCGTCGCTCCACGTCGGCCGGCCCGACCGGACACAGAGCGGCGTCCGGTGCTTTTCAGACCGGCGTCCGGTCAGTTGACCGACGCCAGCGTCTTCGCGACCAACTCGTTTTCACTTCTAACTTCTTCACCCTTGCTCCAATGTGCTAACCACAAGAATTTGCATCCGGCACAATAGAAAATAGACATTCCATTTTCCCGAAAGCGTCGAATCCCGCCTCGCAAGCTCGGCGGGAGGGAGAGAGGGACCCAAACCCATCTCACCCTTGCAAACACCACCTCCTTTGTAAATGTGCCAACACCACCAAGTGTACACCACCATGTGTAAGTGTGTTAGCATTTTCACAATCATTTCCCAAAGGATGTTAGCCACTCAACTTGCCACGCCACTCGATCCTAGCAACAATGCAAAGTTAGATCACTCGAGTGGCACTAGATGATCGATATGCAAACAAGTTTGCCCCTCTTGATAGTACGGCCATCTATCCTAAACCCGATCATAAACTTCTCTACACACCTATGACCGGTGAAATGAAATGCCCTAGGTTATACCTTTGCCTTGCGCATTCCATTCCATCTCCTCCAATGTCGATGCAACACATGCACCAACACGATCAACAATGATATGATCCACTTCATATCATCACGTGATCATATTGGTTCATCGATCTTAACTTTACTTGCTCTTCACCGTTGCCATCGTCCATCGGCGCCAAGTCTTGCTCAAGCTTCACCGCCACACGGTCCATCACTCCAAAGCCTTCGACTTGCCCTTCACGCTTGCAACCGGTCCATCAAGCCAAGTCTTGTCTTGATCTTCTCCACCTTGATCACATAACTCAATGTCATGTCTCATGTGCATTTAAGCTCCTTCATCATCACATGTGTGAGCTTTGCAATATCTCCAAGCCATTTTCACCTTTATGGCATATGTTGCTCACACACATGTACCTGTGGACTAATCACCTGTGTATCTCATATAAACACAATTAGTCCACCTAGGTTGTCATTCAATTACCAAAACCAAACAAGGACCTTTCAATTACCAAGCTGGCCTCTGCCACGCGAGCAGACGTAGGAGGGAGGGGGCTCGAGCAGCTCGTCGTTGCCGTGGCGCACGAGGACGCCAGGCAGGTGCGCGCACGGCGTACCCGCAGAGGCCGAGGTCGCGAGGACCATCGACGAGGCCGTCAACGACACCGCTGCTGGTTCCTTGGTGGCCCCCACTGCTGCTATAGCTGGTGGGGAGGGTGGTGGACATTGTTGGGGTGGTCGTGCTCCCCGTCGACATCCTCCTGTCATCGTCGTGGTGAGCGTCGCCAAAACGGCGTTCATCTCGCAAGATAACGCAGGGGCACGAAGGCCGCTGGCGAGGTAGAGCTCGTTGACGTCGAGCGGCTAGAGCACAAGAGGCTAGTGTTGCAGGACGAGCGAGTGGCATAGGAGGAAACTGAACAAAACTAGAAATTCAATTGAATTAAGGGCAAAATGGTCGTTTCACCCACCTGTTTGACACCGTTAGTAGTCCAAGTGGACGGAATGGCGTGGAGGACAAATAATTTCGGACCAGTGGCACCTGTGAGAGCTTGAACTTTTTAATGGCTTGTAGGTAATTATAAACCTTTTTAATGACACAGGTAAAACCCTCAAATAAAATGACAGTATATCCCCTCCCGAGGGATCTCGTCGAGAAAACGCCTCCCGTTTAGGTAAGTGCTGAACTGTCCGTGGCCCGGACCTGACCTGATGATGAAGAGTCCAATTTCCTCTGGTTGAGTTGGATTTGGATCCCACTTGGATTCGTCGATGAAGAGCTGAATACACACATTCATATATATAGATATTTGCAGAGAAAGGTAGAGGAGCAGGGAAGGGAGGGGCCGACGGTGGCGGCGGCGAGATCAACGTCCCACGCGAGGATGAGGGAAGCCCCACATTGGATTTGCGAGAAAAGTGAGATGTAGAGGGGGCAGGGAGTTGGGACTGCTTGAGATGTTCTAATAAAAATAAAAATAAAAGTTATCCAGATGATATTGTTAGCAGCTAGGCTGCCAGAGACGAAGAAGATAACAGTTCGATAGCAGGAGTAGTAGATCGCCGACTAGAGAGGTCCAGTTACAGAGTTGGTAGAGTAATACGTAATAGAGAATGATTCATTGATTCCTCCTCTCTCTCACTCTGCTTATCTACTTCACGACTTGGGCTCGCAGCGAACGCATGCCCACTCGGGGACGGCTAGCCTTGTGTTCTTGGACCAGGCCCGTGTTCCATGCCTAGGCCTCTACTCTTCTAGTGATGGGCTTAGATGTGGGGTGGTGACACTCCCGCTCCTTGGGTCCTGGCATGTCCCCATGCTGGAGCAGCTGGGAACTGCTGTCGTAGAGCTTCTTCATCCTCCTAGGTGGCGAAGCGCGATCGAGGTCGGACCACTTGACGAAGACCTGGGGAACATTGCTGATGCCATGGTGGTGGACGTGGCGCTGCAGGATCTCCTCTAGAATCTACAGGTCATCGTCGAGGTCGGGAAGAGCACCGAAGACAGTGTACTTGGTGGGCGGAGCCAGCTTCAAGAGGGAGACGTGGAAGACCGGATGCACCGTGGATGTCGGCGGCAACTCGAGCTTGTAGGCGACAAAGCCGACGTAGAACAACATCATGTAGGGGCCGAAGTAGCGAAACGAGAGCTTCTGGTGCGCCCTTGGTGCCAGCGACGCTTGAATGTACGACTGCGCCATGAGGCAGACAGAGTCGTCGACGTCGAAGGAGCGCTCAGAGCGACGCTTGTCCACCTAAGACTTCATCCGCTGCTGGGCGTGGAGGAGATGTTGCCGAACAGACTCCGTCATCGTGGTACGCTCGGACAACAGCGTATCAACATCAGCAACAGGCGGGGTTGTAATTGGTGGTATTGGGTAGGAAATGTTGCTGGGCTGGAGGAACAGAGGGGTAGGTATTTTGGGGAGTTTGTCTACTACACAACCATGTGTTTTATATAGTTTCAACACATGAATTTTTCTGCACCATAGAATTAAGATCCAACAGTCTCACAGCCTTCTTCTATCTCCAGAAGATCATAAATCACAAGATCACAGATCCAGATCCACGTATCACAAGAAACAAATTTTTCTATGCAAGGACAAAAGGACAAATCGGGCGTCCGATCCTCTGGCCGCACGCGTATACGCGTATAGGACGGGCGGTCCTTCTGTTGGCTCTTCGTACAGATCACCTTTCCTCCCACACGCTCACGCACACACATGCACACATGCAGCAGCCAGCAGCAAGCAAACGTGCAGACAATGGCAGACGGTGCTGGACGCCAAGAAGACAGTTGAAAAGAGAGGGAGAGAGGAAGAAAAAATCGATGTGTTTTTTTCGCTAAAACACATGTGTGTTGTATAACATTCCTGTATTTTGGGTCAAATTGGGTGGAGAGGCGGTGGAGGTGGCTGATGCAAGTAAACAGGAATGGAATTGGGGGTGTGAGATGTACCATTGGCCGGGTTTGGAGCTATGGTCGTCACCGATCCATAGCCCCGCTCCCATGTAATCGATGCGACACAATGCCCACCGGGCTAGTCGATCATGGATCTGCCAAGGTGCGCGGTGGCGGCCGACTCCTGATGTGCCTGCAGCGGTGGTTGCTGCGGCTGCGTCGATGAAGACTTGGAGAGGCAGCAGAGCTCGTAGCGGATGTCGTGGTGGTGGTCGTCGATCTCCGGGCGCCACGACTGCAGCTCCCCAGACAGCTCCCTCTAGCGCCTCCACTCTGTCGTCTCGTCACGGATCTCGGCCAACCGGATGAGTTCGAGATCGGCCATGCGCTGCTCCAGATCGGAGACACACGAATCGAAGTGGGCTCCCCAGTTGTCGGCGACGGTGGCGGCGATGTACTGGGTGGAAGCATAGTCCTCTAGGGAGGCGGGGCGACCGTCGACGTCTTGCTCGCGCTCCTGAAGGGCGGTGGATGCATCCTCGAAACGCTTCTCCAGGCGCTCCCAGCGTTCGGCAAAGCGCTTGTCGAGGTCCTCCATCCTCTTGAGCATTTCATCGAACACCTTGGACACGACCGGATCCATTGCCCCTCTTGCTCGCTGCAGGCGGGTGAAGTGCTCGTGGGAGGCTAGCACGGAATCCAGAGTTCGCCGGCGCCCTGGCTCGACGGCTCTGATACCAGATTGTTAGCAGCTAGGCTGCCGGAGATGAAGAAGATAACAGTTCGATAGCAGGAGTAGTAGATCGCCGGCCAGAGAGGTCTGGTTACAGAGTTGGTAGAGTAATACGTAATATAGAATGATTCATTGATGACCTACTTCAGACTTGGGCTCGCAGCCTTGTGTTCTTGGACCAGACTCGTGTTCCATGCCTGGGCCTCTACTCTTCTGGTGATGGGCTTAGATGTGGGGCGGTGACAGATATCAGATAGCACCTGCGCCTCCTAGTTTACTAGTTCTGGGGCGAGCATTGTATTTTACTCTTTCCGGTTTTAGGGACGGAACAGAGTCCAATCTGGCAATTCCCTCTGCACGCCGTCGTGATTTCTTTCGGATTCAAAGCGAAATCGAGTCCAAATCCAAAACCAAAACAGGAACAGAGAGCGGGAGATGGTGCATGTGCATAAAGGAGCGGAGATGCAAGACAGGGAAATGGAGGTGGTTTCTAGGTGAGATCCTTTGGGAGGGGAGCTACCATCGTAGCCTAGTAGTCACATGGGGCTGCCGGCGCTGCAGCGCCTCATGACCCTGCAGCACGACCGCAGCGGCGTCGCCGACGATTTTTTTTTCTCGAATACGCAAAAGATTTACGTATCATTGTAATTAAGAAGAAGAAGAGTTTAACCATATACACGACGCGCTTCTAATGAGCGCCCTAGGAGGTCTTACAGTTTGATTGGACCTTCCTAGCAGACTATTTCAAACTTCGATATTACATAAAAGTAAACAACCGAACTACGAGCAGCGCAGAAACCTACGGAGCTTTGGGTCTCCGCTAATGGCCGCGCGACTCTGCTCCATCGTCCGAGAAGAGCCTTGTACCAATCGTAGCAGCGGTCGCCGAGAACAGCTCGTCTAGTGCTTCCACTTCACTCGACGTCCAGTTCCTTGCAAAAAAGTCATCGTAAGCTCTCTTGGACGTGGATGAGATTGGACCTGCCGGCGGTGCAAAGCCCATCCTCCGCATGAGGAGCACCTCATCCCGCTTGGAGATCGGAATGTGCGCCAGCGGCTGAGCGGCAATCCGTTTGCTCCGCTTTGGCATGGGTTGCCCTATGGTTGGCACCCTCTGCCTGGGTGGGCTGGCGATTAGAGGCGGCATTCGCTCGAGCTGCACCTCCTTAGTGAACCGTGCGAGACGTCGGGCAACTTCGCGTGGTGTGGGCGTCGCGTCGCTGGGGGTGGTGCAACCCTCTGCGACGTCGGGTGCTCCCGCTCGTGGTGGCGTGAGTTGTGGCGGCCCCTGCACTGGCGACATCAGAGACAAATCCGTCGTCCACTGAGCAGCCGTCGTCGGGGAACAGGTGTCCGCCACTGGTGCCTCAACCTCCTGACGGGCTGTTGTAGCAGGCAGACACTCAGATGTTGCTGCTCTCATTGGCCGGCTCACGACGAGCGAGGCGGCGAGTTCCTCCAGCATCGGGTCGAAAGAGATGACCACTGCGGGGGGGCCCGCACTCACGCACAGCGCCAGCGCCACCGGATCTGGCTCGGGGCAGCTTAGTGCTGCAGTAGAAGCAGGTGCCATGTCAGCGTGGTCGGCAGGCGCACCCGTGCCGATCTCCTTCGGCTTAGTCTTGCGTCGCCGATGTTGTCGTCGTCTCCCACCGGCGCCCCCACGGCCCCTGGGTGCGGCACCCTTCGCACCGCCGCGCGCGCGCGTGCTGGGAGGACGTAGGGCCGACGCGAGTAGAGTACTGAGGCAGGTCGGCACCCACCGCCGCCGAGGTCGAAGCATTCCTTCGCCTGCAGTCCTTGACGAGGTGGCCGAATCCGCGACAGCGTAGGCAACGCCGTGGCAACCGACAAGTCGTTACTCGGTGCGAGTAGGAGAGGCAGTTGAAGCATCTGCCGTGAAGATCAGCCGGGATCCTCTTGACCTGCGAAAGTTGCCCTTGGCTGGGGCGAGGCTTCGTCGAGACAGCAGCAGCAGATCCTGTGACCTGCCGGGGGAGGCTCCGTCGCCGGCGATTTCGAGCCCAGTGTAAGTCTCTTCGCCCCTCGCTTTCCCCCACTGGTACGTTTTGTTTGGTTGCTGTTTCCTTCAGTTCACTAAACCCAAAAGTGATACTTTTTATCTCTTATATGTTATATGTTCCCTAAGTGATCCATTTAGCTTGATATATTCCTACAACCATTTCATTTGTCTGAGATTAAATTACACTTTAGTAATTCCTAGAGATGATAATTGATTTCGGGAGGAGATTTCAACAGATCACATTTTATGAAAAAAGACTGTTGCTTTTCTGTTTTGAGTTTGCTTTTTCCCCTTAGACCTTGTAGTTCAATTCATGCCTGGCATGGACTATCACAAGTTTGTAACCATGGTTGTTGCATTGCAACTGGATCCATTGGTTCAGTGAATACTAGGAAGGGCTCGCCCTGTCAACATGATGATAATTCTCAAGCTGGCAAAATAACAGTATGTTCAATTCCAGACCTTCCTGAGGTAGGGTGCCATGAAATTCTGATGATGAAAACCGCAATATATCACCATGAGTATTCTAACTGAACTAATTTTCAGGACTAAGCTAGCTGAATACTCCTATCATTTATTACCTACAAATTATCCTGCAAATAGTTCTATTTTTCTGTAAGAAACATCAAACAATAACGGGCAGAGGGAGTATAAATTGAGAATGGATTTAGTTCTGCAGTTGGTCTTGGCTGTAGGCTCCTGCCGAATTAACAACTCTGCTTTGTCTATGTGTAACTGTTCCCGGTTATCTATACACATTCCGTTCTGTTATCTATAAGGCATGTGACTATTGATGCTATTTGATACAACTACCCTTGTGTCCTGTAAAAATTTACAATGAACGCCTAGTAACCTACGATCTTCCACCTTTGTGCTGTAAATTCTGGAGCTGCTGGAGAGACAGAACAGTTATATAGCAGATCCGGCCTCCATCATAATCTTCTTCCAGATCTTCAAGCATGGACTTTGTCAATTTATTAATTTTTGGGGATAAATATTAGAAATGTATGTACAGATTCGGGACTAAGCAAAATTGTTTATCTTTGCTCTCTCCCATTTATTTACTCATATTCTAACACGGTACTCATGTTAATACTTTCGTATCTTTATCTTAGTTGTGCTGGACTCCCGTGACCAATTACTCTAAATATTTTTCCATCCCGATTCATAATTATACCCTTTGCATCGTATGATCATGTGTGTTTTCCATGTGCTTAGATGAAACTATCTCTCATGTAGTCATGTGTTTATATTCTAATAACAACTCCCTGTGATACTACTGTTTTTTCTTTCTACACTTCAAGTAACCATTTGGCTCTTCTAGCATTGAACTTTATTCACATGCTTGTATGCAGGACATCTGGCACCATATACATTCGCTAATGCCAATGCGTGATGCTGCTAGTGCCGCTTGCCTGTCTCACGCCTTTCTACGTTCCTGGAGATGTCGTCCCAGTCTCACCTTGAATAGGGATGTGGTTCCCTTGAAAGAATAGGCACATGAAGAGAATGTTTGCCACATAATTGACTGCATTGTGAGAAACCACTCAGGCACTGGTGTGAAGACATTGGAGCTTCAGTTAGATGGTATTGCCTTTTGCTTCCTCGATCGTTGGCTAAAACACGTTGTTACACCAACGATTGAAGAACTCACTGTTATATTATGTGATAGTTTTAAGATAAAGTACAGTTTCCCATGCTCAGTTTTATCAAATGGGACTGGTAACTCAATTCGGTATCTTGAACTTGGTTCTTGTGCCTTTCGCCCGACAGCACAACTTGGTCCCTTGAGAAACCTAATTAGTCTGAGTTTGCATCGTGTACATGTTACTGAGGATGAATTAGAGTGTTTTCTTTCCAACTCTCTTGCCTTGGAGAAGTTGCACCTCAGTGTTTGTCGGGAGATAATTTGCCTACAAAAGTTCAGCTGCCTGAGGGTTTTCGGATGCTGGAGGCTGCAAGTGATAGAGAGCAAAGCTACAAATCTCTCTTGTTTACACATCAATGGAAATGTAAAACTCTCATTTGCAGATACATTGCAAATCAAGAGATTAAGTGTAGAATTGAATCCAAAGGCTCTCTGTTATGCTCGTTCTGAGCTGCCGCCCATTATGTCAAATCTTGAGATTCTCCATATAAGCTCCAGCTATGAGGTACCCCTCTAGAACATAAGGCGTTTTATGCATATTATATATAGAGCAGTCAGTCAGTCACATATGCATATTACGGTTGACACAAGTCATACCTTGTGTATGATTAATCTGAGATTTGACATATGCTGTGCAGGTTGTCAACACACCAATGCTGCCTACCAAATTCCTCTACCTCAAACACCTGGCCATTGATATTACATCAGGAGCTTCCTTTTCCCCGTCCTACGATTATTTTTCCCTAGTTTCTTTCCTTGAGGCGTCTCCCTCCTTGGAGACATTGACTTGGATGTAAGGCACCGTTCCTTCATTCCATCCTGCAAAGTTGTATCTGTCTAACCACTCTCTTTGATACACTGACTCGATTTATTTTTTTTAATCATTAGGTATCCCAGGGACATATGCAGCATAAATCGGTTTTTGAAGATTTCTCAGGTTTGAGGCAGATGCCGGAACACCGCCATTGCCACCTCAAGAGTGTGAAGATGGTAGGCTTCAGCTCTGCGAAGAGCTTGGTTGAGCTAACATGCTACATTCTCAAGAACGCAGTGTCACTCGACTGTCTCACATTGGACACCCTTGATGGTTTTAGGTGTTCTAAAAATTCTAGAAAATGCTGCACCAAGAGCAAGAGTGTTCTCATGGAAGCCCATAGGGCACTCAAGGCAATTAGAAGTAACATTGATGTTAAAGTTCCCCCTACAGTTAGGTTCACTGTTGTGGAGCCGTGCAGCCGGTGCCATGCCGTAGGAGAGGATGATAGGCGTCGAAGATGGTGATGGCTGCCATCGTGTGCAATATCAATCAGGCTGGGATCGGAGCCTGATTGATTGTGCATGGGATGGATGATGTTACAATAGCTCACCAAACAAGAAGGCTTTTTATGTGATTGTAAGAGAAATTAAAGTTTCTCAATTAGGCTTTGGGTTATGTTGCAATAGCTTAGTACCAAACAAGGCTTTTTACGTGATTGTATGAGAGAAAAATTAAAGTTTCTCAATTAGGCTTTGGGTTATGTTGCAATAGCTTAGTACCAAACAAGGCTTTTTATGTGATTGTATGTATGAGAGAAAAATTAAAGTTTCTCAATTAGGCTTTGTTTTTCTACAAAGGGAGATACTAGCGACAGGACGTCTGAATATAACCGCGCGTCCGGATGCCCGCGCCTCCTCCGTCACATACGCTCACGGAAAAAACGCCGTGCCGGCCGCTTCTTCCCCCTACCCCCCTCCTCTCTCTCCGCAAGTCCGGACGCCCACGCCTCCTTCGTCATGCGTACCGCGGGAAATGCCACACCTGCAACTCCTTCCCCCTAATCCCCTCCTCTCTCTCTCTCTCTCTCTCTCCGCACGGGCGAGACCCAGGAGCCGGGATGAGGATGAGCACACCCCGTCCGCAGGCTCCCAACGCGCCCCATCCGCCGCCCCCTAGCTCGTGCGCCCCATTCCTGGCGCCCAGGCCGTGCCCCCGTGACTCTCTCTGAAACATGAAACACTTAACACTTGAGTGCAACATACTTCTGAAGCAGATGAAACATTTGTATCATACACTTGAAACATATGTGTGAAATATATGCAACGTCCAGATTAAACATTTGCAACTTGTAACATGAAAACACTTACTGCAACATAAGACTGAAACATTTCGAACATATGTGAAACATATGCAACATCCATATCTACTTTTGCAACATCCATATGAACCACTTGCAACATACCTCTAAAACATCTGAAACACTTGAAACAAGCATTTGCAACATAAAGGGAGAGGCTGGGGCTAGTCGATTCTGACCGTCAGGGTGGGAGCCGGCGGCGAGCGGCAGCGCGCAAGCACCACCAGCACCACCCGCGCTCGTGGGTGCCTTTGGCTCGGCAGGGGATGACCTGAGGTGCCCAGCACGTGCGCCCAGCCGTCATCGGTAGGGGCAGCGGCAGCAGCCCACGGTGGCAAGGCATCCCGACGGCGTTGGGTTGGGGAAGAGGCCAGGGAGGTACTGCACAAACTGAGCGAGGAGGCGGCGTGGTCGGCTTGGGTAGAGGAAGGAGGCAGCGGTGGCGGCACGGGGCTCTGCTGCTACCAGTGGGCGCGAGAAGAGACCGAGAGATGGGAAGGGCGAGACGGAGTGGGGAGATTTTTTTTTCTTGAGAGTGGTGGGCGAGGCGGAGTGGGAAGCCGTATCCGAACGAACAGACGCGGACGAACGGGCGCCCGTGTTGAAGTATTTCCTTTCTACAAAGTTGTAACTTGTAACTTGACTATTAGTACTGTGATGAATGGGAAGTTCAGCCACTTCGCGCGGTAGTGTTGTTTGTCGTTCCATTAGGAAAGTTCTTTTTTACAACAAAAGGCTTATTTTCACCAAAATATTAATTAAAAAAAGGGTTTAAATAAAAAGACAAAAGAAAAATTGAAATCGTCACAAAGACGCAGCAGCAGTCGCTGCCCGCTAGTACATGGAGGCCCGTGCATTTTCAAGTTGGGCTCAGCCCATGTAGGAGGACTATTCCAGCCCGGTCCATCCAGGCCCACTTGTGCGTCTTCCTCCTCCCTTCTTTCCCCAGACCAACCGCAGCCAAGGGCAACACCACCACACCACCTCCTCGCCGTCGAAACGAATCCGAGTGACAAGGGAACCGGCGGCGGCGATGGGGATTGGTGAGCACTTCGAGGGCGTGAAGCAGCACTGGGCGAGCAACTTTGCTTTCCTTGACTACTTCAAGAAGGTCTACGGCCGCGCCGAGCCCCTCCCCAAGTGGTCCGACGCCGACGTCAACGAGTTCATTGCCTCCGACCCGGTCTACGGGCCCCAGGTCGGCGATCCCATCCGCTCCCCTCCCCCTTCCTCCTCGCCTCGTCTCGCCTCTCCTTTGACCACAGATGCGGTTTCCGCAGCTCAAGGCCCTGCGGGAGTCGAGGAAGTTCGCGCTCGCCGGGGGCTTCGTCGGTGCCGCCCACCTCGGCGGCGTCGCGCTCAAGTTCTCCAAGGCGCCGCACGGTATGATGACGGGTGCCTTTGCGGCCATGTGTAGCTGCCAGGTTTTCCAGATCGGTTGTGACATCGGTTTGGTTTTGCTGCTGTTGCTGATCGGCGGCATTTGGGGGTGGGTGGCTGTGATTGACTGCAGGCGTCCTGCTGGCGACCGGGTTCGGGGCGATCACGGGCGCCGTGCTGGGATCCGAGGTGGCGGAGCACTGGTACCAGCTCTACAAGATGGACAAGCAGGGGGCCAACCTCAGGTTCATCTACTGGTGGGAGGACAAGGTCTCAGGTCTGTTCTGTTCCTTGTGCCATCTTGTCCTCTCTTTCCTCATATGATGATCCAGTTCCTGTCTAGTATACGTGGTTAATTCTGCAGAGGATGCCATGTCCTACTTGCAATTGTGGATTACAATGTTGAAATAATGATGTGGTTGTGTCAGTTTCAGCGCAGAGTAACACACAGCTAATCTTACCTGACCAACTATGTGATATACTATGTGTTAAGTGCAAGTTACAAATTGTACTTGTTAATTTTATTTTTCTCTATTTAAGTGAATTAAGTCTGCTAAGTTTGTAGAATAAACTTTGTGTTAATCCTCAGATTCATCCACATCTCCTTGTCCTGACTCCCGACCAAATCAATGATTACTTTCTGGAAACACTTGCCACTCATTTATTTCTCTGAGACCTACAAATTGTAGGTTAGTATAATATTTACAACTGCTTTATGTTAATGTCAGAATTTATGCGTCTGAAAACACTCTTTAGTCTTTACACCTCAGATCTACTACCACTGTTGTAAGTGGTAGGAACTTGGAACAGAACCTTTCTGTGTCTGAGACTGAAAGCTGCACCTAATTCAGAAGTAACCCTGGTGATGACTGATCAATCTTAGAGGGATTCTTGAGCTACCTCATTAAACTAACAATTAAGCCACAGATCCATCTACATCTCGTTAACCCAGCTACTACTAACAAAGATGCCTTTTAAATTTGTGTGCTAATTGTAGTTTAGTACAACAAATATAGTGCTATGTTGGCTTTATGTTTATGTCAGGATGTATCTTCAGACTAAGCATTGCCTTTGTGAGCAGGCATTGACTTCCAGTCTTAATTCTGGCTTCCATGTTTTCTTGGGTTCACCCTCTGGTTTTCTCTGGTACCTGAGTCAGTCTTCTGGTGGAGAGAAACATTTGCGTAGGTGAATGGATATGCAAATTCTGTGAGACACTAAGCAGGACTATCAAATGCCGAAGAGTGCTTCTTGCAGTGCAAACTGTTGGATAGATATATAGTACTAACAAATTTGTGTTCACTACATACATAATTGCCTCTGTAGTCCTTGTTTTCGAAAGGTTCTGCTTGTAGTTCATGATCAAGAGTGTAATCTGTGGTGCTGGGCTGGTGAAACAACTCCTATGTAGGCTGTTGCCATCAGCTGCTTAGGCTCTTGTGGGTTTTTGGTCGTGTTTTCTTTCCAGCGTGTGGCGCTGTTAATCTTGTACTAGGTGCCAGGTGGCCTAGGGGAGTTGGCTCTGCCTCTCCTTTGGTTCTTTTTTCTCTACTTAAATGAAATGACAATTGACTTGTGAGTTGTGACTGATTATGTTTATGATTCTCTTTTCAGTGAATTTATAATATTAAAGTATAGGATGCAGTTGTGTCAGTTTCAGCATGAGATTACTTGCCAATTTGCAAACGATTGAAGTCAAGCAACTGCATGATTCTAATACATTAGTTTTTCATGTTTGTATTAGCCTTTTTAGGTCACCGTACATAGTGATTCTGGTTTTACCCATGTAATGACACGGTAGTGGATTACAACTGTTAAAACTCTTCAAAGTACAAGATGGAGCTGTGTTAGCTTTAGCATGTTTGTGCTTTATTAACGCAGTTGATTGCAGTGGGCTGTCTCCATAGTAGTTTTTCCTTTTTGGTTTTACAAGATTGGAGATTCCTTATTTGTTCTAATTCTTCTTTTTTTCCCTTCCGTGAACAGGCCAGAAGAGCTGAACCATGTTGAATGATACCTATTTTGAGCATACCAGTTTGACAAAACATTGATGTCTCTTATGTGGAATCCTTAGTTTTTGTTTCCTAGTTTTCTCTAATAAGGTGCGTATTGGTTGTGGAAACCAACTGGACAATGTATTTTCATCTGTCATGAGTGATGTTTATCCTTAGTACTTTACAATGTTCAGGGTCACTCTGGTGTAAACAGCAAATCCTATCCGTTTCCAAGATAAGTTTTCTCAAACTGCTATTTTTCTGTTAGTAGTTGCAACCTCAGAAATAAAAAGGCTGCACACTGCATTCGAAACACTTGGCCTTCATGTATGCATACAAGGTGTTTTTTGATCTTTTGGTCTGAAGCTCTATGTCCATTTCAAAAATTGCAGTTTCTTCTAGCCCAATACGTGATTTTGATTCATATCATTATTCTCATTTTAGGAGGCAAAATTGAATGCTATATTCTTGCCTGATGATAAGAATATCATGTTTATGTTGCAAGGATTGGTGTATCTGTTTTGCATATAAGGCTATGTATGTATTGTCAGTCATCGTTCCTTGGGTAGATGTGTACTTAACTACGCGGATGTTGTCCAGTTTACTGACCCAAGTTTAGAGTGTTCATTCCACCCCTACTACAATTGTAGCTATTGCTGTATCAAGTTAGATGCTAAAAGTAAAAGAACATAAAATTGAAATGGGGTGGATGGAACATAGATTCTGATGACTCACAATACCTGATAGTGCAAACATGGTTTCTAATGCCTATGGTTTTTCTTTATATGTATCACTTTCTGTGTAAACTGAAATTATGTATCCATAGTTTTTAACCGATTGCCCCGATAGTACTAGTAGATACAATGATTAGAAATGAACACAAACATATTTCAATTGATAAGGAAGAAATAACACAACATCAGAATTCCTCAACAGTTCTTTATTATGGAAAGTAAAAGCACACAATACAATACCAGGGCACTCCTGAAGGGCTATGGTTTATATGACAAGATACACCAAAGTAGCAGAACAAACCATTACACAAACATTATTGATCGTATTACACACTAGTAATCAACAGAATGAGCCCCCCAGGGTGTTATTACAGTCAGAAGGAATAGCCCAGCTCTGAGCCCCTACAGTTAGAATAGCCACTCAGTATAGTCAGTGGGTTAGTGATCTCCTCTATCAGTGGGACTGTACTAAAATGCCCATTCTGTTGATCTGCTACCACCATGCCTACGTCAAGCAAACTACTCTGTTCTACAATCTGCATACAACATCAAATTCATACCGTCAGTTGCTTATCATGATATGGAACAAAACCTGAAGTTTATAGCTTAGAGTGAACTGACAATTGGTACCTTTTCCTGGAGAATTTCGTTAGCAACTTTCAACATACCTTCCTGCATATACGGAGATACTTTTAGTAAGTTATGGATGCTAAAAACTTTGGGTCTTTATAGAGTTGAGTACAAGTTTTTGACATGCCTTTCTTTTCAGTGCTTGTATCTCTTGAATCATTATCTGCATCTATTAGGCAGGATACAATTTTAGCAATGTCTGAAATCATATGTTTTTTTTAAAAATGATTTTTTGGTGAATTACCTTTGCAGAGCGGATGTTGTACATCCATATCTCCAAGTACTTCTCTAGGGCATTCAGTTCTTCAACATTCATGTGTTCATTTGCCCTGTTCCCGTAGATGTACCTACCAAAATGCTTCCTTTGTCAGAATTAATGGCAGACTTCGAACATTCGCCATTTTATTTTCTTTTTAATAGAATAAATCTTATTTTGAGAGGGCAGAACAGGTTTTCTAGTGAACAGTTCAGGCCATGTTTCGATGTAAAGTGTTTTTGGAGTTTTAGAAGAAGAAAAATACCATGGTTCTGTTAAATAACTTGGTTTTAGAGTGACATGATGTGTTTGGATGCAATAAAGTTTATCGTTTTCAATACCATTGTATTGCCTAAATTGTAGTCTTTTGGAAGTTTTATTTAAAGACTCCACTGTAGACCTCTTTTTTTCTAAACTATGTTTTTGCACATGAATGGTTCTAAAACTATAGTTTCTTAATACTACAACATTCAAACAAGGCCTCAGTGTTGTGTAAGACCAAAACTTTCTTGGGTTTTGAAGTTTCTGTCTATTATACAGAAATGTTTTGTGTTGCTTGGTTGGTTCGGTACTTAAGTATGGACAAAAGCATGGACCCTGCTGAACCTATGTTATAGCTCTAACTTGTAAGCAAAGATAAATGTTTCTTCGAGTTTGTTTCGCATTTGCTGGTAAATGGACAGTGGGGATTCTGAAGCAAACTGAATTGTAGGAAATTTTTACAGACTGTAAGGCAGAGCTGTGAGAACAATTTACCTGAGTCCTTTCTGGAGCAGATTGATTTCCTGCTGCAGCACCATGGTTTCTTGTTTTGGGTCCTGCGTAGCAGAAATGGCCAAAGCTTTTAGCAATCAGGGAGAGCAGAGGAAAAGGCAGAGAGGGTGTCTATAGACAAGAAGATGGCTTTGTGTTTGCATAGGAAACGTTTGGTCTCTCTACTTGTACTATGCATTGAAGATTCAGCCACAGCAGTCTAATAACAACTCAAATTATATAGTCCTGTGGCCTATTTACTAGAAGCTCATGCCTTGTGCTGTGGATGTGGAAATTTGCACAGTTGACTGTTATGCGTCTTGTTCGTTTGGGCTTGTTTGGTTTATAAGCCATGGCTGAAAATACTGTTAGCTGGTTTGGTGTGAGAGAAAAATATTGTTCGTTGGCTGATAAGCCATGGCTTATAAGCCAAATACGACCAAGTGAACAGGCCGATGAAAGTGAAAACAAACAAATAAATAAATAAATGTATTTAAAGTAGCAAAGAATGCATGAATGAGCACATGTTGCTGAATTGGCAGGGAGCATATATTCTGGTGTTAGGCATGAATGTTCCAGTGTTGTAAATGGCAAGCAAAAAGATGGTAGGACACACAAGAACCAGCACATCTAGCTACTGCTACTGACCATTCTGTTGTCGCCGGAGCCGTCGGCAGCTTCTCCGCTGGCAGTCTTGTACCTCTCGATCAGCTCTTCCATGGTCCTGCAGTCGGATCATCAGCTCATCATCGATCAGCAGAGCAGAGCACAGCAGAGCATGCATGGTACGGTGACGACGACGATGATGTACCCGGTGGTGGCGAGGTCGTAGAGCTTGCCGTGCGCGGAGAAGATGATGATGCCGATGTGGGCGTCGCAGAGGACGGAGAGCTCCCGGGCCTTCTTGAGCAGCCCGGCGCGGCGTTTGCAGAAGGTCACCTGCCGGTGCACCGGGTTCTCGATGCGCCGCAGCTGCACCTTGCCCCGCGCCATGGATGCCGAAGGATTGCCTGGTCCCTTGCCTTGCCTTGGCTAGCTCGTCGGTCGTCACCTAGCAGCAGCAGCAGCAAAAGGTTGTCGTCTTCCTCGATACCTGCACACAACCTCCCACTAATTTGGACTAGCTTCGAGGTTGGTGAGGGTCCCCTTGTGCTCTCTCCTCTCCCTTGCTCTTCTCTGTCTTCTTGCTCAGTCACCACAGGCCCTGCCCTGCCGGTGCATATATACTGCCGGCCTGGCCTGGCCTGGCCTTGGCAGCCAGCAGCTCTGCAGCTTGCTAGCTAGTCTCATGGAATGATGGAAGAAGAATCCCATACGCATCTCTTGCTTTACACCTGTTGCCATTTAACGTTCGTCACATCAGAGCACCCATGTCTGAAATTCTCCTTTTCAAAAAAAATGACTGAAAAATTCTCATGTCTTTGCTAGCTGTGCTTCACAGCCGCCATGCTGCTGCTGCTGCTGCTGTTTCTGTGCACGCGTGGCGTGGATGCATGGGCATGGCTGAATTTGTTGGAGTCAACTCGAGGCAGAGAATATATACACACACACAGTTGAAGTCAAGATGCGTGGCAACGCTTGCACATGATGATTGGCAGTAGCTAGTACTGGTCCCCTACCTCCTGCTGGAATTTTTGTTTCAAATGAATAGACTTCGAATTTTGTATGTCGATTTGTTCTGAGGTTTCTGGTTCCTGATGATGATGATAACCAAGCCAATTGATCATGGGCTTTGCTGCGGTACAACCGGACGGTCACGATCACCTAGGAGGTGATATATGAAATATATATTTATTTAATTTTTAATTTTGGAAAGTATGATAAATCAGGAGAAGTGTAAGATATAAAGATCTTTTTTTAGATCTAATTGATGCATACATGATCCATTGGATGTGGTAAATCTTTTTATTTTTTGCAACTTTAGATATAGCATAATTTATTTAACATAAACTACCTATTTTTTATTCAAGTAACTTGTACCACACGTATGTGCTTAAACAGACATGAAATTGATGTGTGTATGTGCCCAACGTGCACGAAAATTTACGTGCATACATGAAACTTTACATGGCCATCTTGCATGCTCAATATACGTGACAGGTAAGGCCCTCTCAACTATGAAATATAGTTTTATTCGAGTTAGTATAATATACACACTCAATTTGTAACGTGTCAACATATAACATGTTTTAGATCGCTAAAGTTCAAGTCTCAATAACGTGTTAACTATTGATATTTTTTATATATATGTAACGTAACTTTTAATAACTGAATAAACCGTGATATAGCTGTTGTATACATGTTGATATATTTTTTATATGTATAACATACTGAAAGGAAGGCCGAGCAATCAACGAGGAAGGGCCGCGCGGCAGGCCGCCGCTTCTGTCTGTCCCGTGCATGAGGGGATTTGAAGATATTTCCTCTTTCTTTTTCCTTTTCTTAGGTTAATTAATTGATTTAAAAAATCTAAAAATCAATGGCTCAGATTTATTTGAGATATTACCTCCTTGAAGGTAAAGGATATACCTTAGCATTGCCCATTGATCATATATATCAAGGCTTGAGATCTGATTCTATTTCTACCTGGGAATGGGATACATACATACATGCAATCAGAATCAGAGTCAGTGATGCATTTTTCTTTGAGTATATGATAAGTGTGCTAGCTACAATTATATTCTTGTTACAACCTGTAAGAATTATATATATTTTTTAAGAATATTTATTTACAAGAATTATATTCTTCTACAACCTCTAAAAGCAAAACTCTTTTACAAGAATAGAATTTTAGGATGCTTGCTAGAAGGTGAAGAAGTTGGTTACAACAAAAAAAAAATACTAAATCCTCCAGCCAGCCACTTCTCTTTTGCATTTATTTTGGTCTACCTCTACAAAACACAAGGAGGCCGGCCGGCTTTCTCCGAATTCCGCTGGCCCTTTTGCGGCACTAGGGTTTTGGTGGCTAATGCCGCTACGAATTCCACCTCGTTTCGCTTTACGACTATATGTCTTGTTAGAAAGATGGCTAGCTTTGCTAGGGTTCATCGAAAACCTGATGCCCAACAAATTGGTGTCACGTCAACAACCCCTCGTTTCACTCTCTTTTGCTGGATGGAGCATCTCTTCCCCCAACAAGTTGCAGCGCCCAGCCCAGAGGATTCCCTTGCCATTTGCATTTTTAAATCATGCCCTCTTCTTAGTGCTCTCTCACACAGAATTTGCATCACCAACACCTCTGGACAAATTTTTTCTCTGGTTGGCCCACTGAAAAAAATGGCTCTACTGCATTCATGCTACTCATTGGATTGGAGAACCAGAACCAGAGAGAGTGAGCTCAAGAATATATGGAATTAATGCAGATTGGCAGCCATCTTTTTTCTTTTAGGACTGGAAGCTATCATTGTGTGAAAGAGAGTGTCTTGTTCGTGAAGACGATGTTTCCTCGTCTAAAATACGTCCTAACATGAACATAAAGAAGAATACATATGTTATGCTAATCTGCAATTTGCAGTCAGGTAAGATAAATGACAAGTGTTTCTAGAAAGGCATCTTTGTTTGGTGTTTAGCAGATCTAAGGAGATGTGGATGAATCTGGGGCTCAAGTTTTTTGTGTATTCGTGAGCCAACTTGGGAAGCACATAGTCTCCCTAGGATGAATCAGAGATCACGAAAGTCGGTTCTGAATTTGGTGCAGTTTTTAGCTCTAGGTACACAAGTTACTGTTAGACTATATTCTGGAAATTAATCCTACCCTACCAACTCTAACAGTTAATAGACAAGACCGTCTCTAGGAATTTGGGCCCCCAGAACGAAACGAAATGCAAAATGAGGTCCGAAAATTTGAAAAAAGAAATCATGTCTAATATAACTAAAGAATACTTTAACTTTTACATGTGTTATTTCAATATACAAAGTTTAGTAATATATCAAATATTGATGCTAAAAAATAGGTAGAACTAACCTCATGATTTACTGAAAAGCATCAACTATCTTGGAAATTTTAAGGTTATATATAAGATACTCCTTGAAATAAACAAAAGAAGACCGGACCAAATTTGAATGAGCAACTATCTTATAAATCTTGGATGCGTGACTACAACTATATGGAGTCTTAACCTTTCTACCGCTGACAAATTTATGAAACAATTATTGATAAATTTGGAGGCTCTGTTCCATGACTTCCATTGCTTAGGCCGCACGCCCTCATCGACGGGTCTGTATGTAGATACTAAAGAGTGATTACAAAAACGTATACTGTGACATGAACATAAAGTATGTAGTTCTTATTTTTGGAAGTAAAGACAGATAAACTAGTTCATATCCTGTACTAATCTACACTTCTCAGAAAAATAGATCTACAAATGGCTCTAAAAATAAACAACTAGTGTTTAATAAGGGTATCATCGGATTTTTTTTTTTTTGAAACAAAGGCAGGAGCTCTGCCGCTTAATTAAGACGAAAGAAAATTATGTGCAAAAGGGTAGTCAAACGTGGTGCCAACACATGCCACACGAATGGCTGACCCACCCACGCGACGCGGAAGGGAAACAAAATTGTCATGAGTCATCGTTGCCGAGCGTGGTTACAAAGCAACCAGCAGCTCCGACTTCCTGTGGCAGACACAGATGAACCTAATGAAGAAAAAAAGATGGCCCAAAGCGAGAGGCCGCAACAGGTCATCGTTGCCAAGCTCAAAACAAAGAGCAGCTCTGACTTCCCCGCCCCCGGCATTTGCCACACCTTCAAACCATCCCAGTAGACGAAAGAGGGGGTGGTTCGCCTCATGTCATCGTTGCCGAGCCACATCTGTCGGTGCGGGACCCACAGGATACCCCGCAAGGAAGAGAGAAGATCTAGTCTAACTAGGATTCTCCCCATATAATCTTAATAGTAGTATTACTTTGTAATCCTACTAGGAACTCTCATTGTAAACCGACTAGGAATCTGACCTCCTGACTATATAAAGGAGGGCAGGGTTCCTAGAGAAGGGAGATCAGGATTTCTACAACACAATCAATCCAACGCAAAGGCTAACGTCGACTGGACGTAGGGCTGTTACTCGACCACAGTCGAGGGCCTGAACCAGGATAAATCGACTGTCTCTTGCGTTCACCGTCGAGTTCCGCATACGCTGAAGCCCGAACAATACTGCCCCGGAGACCCCCGTGACAGGCTATCGGTGGTGAAACATCGACAGCTGCCGCGCCAGGTAGGGGTCGAACCTACGGCCTTCTGCTTAGGAAACAGACGCTCTATCCACTGATCAAAATCAAAGGAAGTCCGTTTTCGAAAGACTTGGGCCAGATGGAAGTCATAACGGAGAAAGTAGGAAGGATCATAATCAAGGCCACCGATTTGAACAACCAAGAAAGACCAGGAGTAGGGCGCCTACCTAGACAGCCTCGTAGAATTATTCCCATCAAAACAACAGTTGGCTAGAAGGAGGTGCCGAATCAGAATTCAAAGAAGCCAGAACGCACGACAGATTCCCCTGTTTCGCGAACAGGCTTGCATCAATACGATTACCTCACAAGTTCAAACCGTCTAACCACTCTAAGTATGATGGCAAAACTGAACCAAGGCAATGGCTCAGAATATATTCACAATCAATTGAACTAGCCGGAGGAGACGACGATATCAAGACCCTGTTCTTTCCCATGGCACTGGACGCCATGCCCTTCCAATGGTTCGACAAATTAAATCCAGGATCTATCAGAAATTGGGAGGACTTGCAAAGAGTTTTTTGTGAAAATTTCACAGGAATCATTACACACCCAATCACTCATGCAGAACTGAAAGGACTCAAGCAGAAGGGAGGCGAAAGTCTCAGAAATTACTATCGACGATTCGGTGAACTACGGGCTCAAGTGCATGACATCACCGAACGAGAAGTGATTGAAGCTTTCTCTCACGGAATCATGGTTAGGTGGCAATTTCAAGACTTCTGCAAAGAAAATCTGAGAAACAATGAAGAATTCAAACGAACAGTA